TACACATACACACATACACATACATACATACACACACAGTCACCATTTCATAGTGGTTTAGAGTATCTCTGGGCGGTTTATAGAGTCAGCATATGGTCCCCAACAATTTTATCAATCTTGGAAGGATGGAAGGCTGAGTCTACCTTGAGCCTGGTGAGATTGAACTGCCAAATTGCAGTCAGCCGGCAGTCAGCAGAACTAGCCTGCAGTACTGCACTCTAACCACTGCGCCACCATGGCTCAACCTTCCATCCTTCCAAGATTGATAAAATTGTTGGGGACCATATGCTGACTCTATAAACCGCCCAGAGATACTCTAAACCACTATGAAATGGTGACTGTGTGTGTATGTATGTATGTGTATGTGTGTATGTGTATGTCTTAAGTGCTAGTTGTATCGGGAAGCATATCTGGCTTTCTCCATTTAAATAGCAAGTTTGTCCCAACTCTGCAGCAGACTTCTTCAAGCTGATGCCCTCCAAATAAATTGTGGAATTATCTCTCATGAATGAGAGCTGAGAGAAATGAGAATTTATATCCAATGTCTGAAGAGCACCAGGATGGAGAAAGCTAGTCCTGTGCTTCTGTTTCAGAAATAACATTTCTTACTTAATGTATAGAGCCATGATGGCGAACATATGGCGTGCGTGCCACAGGTGGCACATGGAGCCCTCTCTGCAGGCACATGAGCCATTGCCCCAGCTCAGTTCCACTGTGTGCACCTACCACCAGCCAGCTGATTTTCAGGTCTCTGCCATGCATGCGTGGGGGGCAGGGCATATGCGGAAGATGCATGTGCAGGGGGCGGGGGGTTCATACGCGTGCACAGGGGGAGGGTAGGCCTCCCACTGCCTGTTTTTAGTCCCAGGAGGCTGCAGGGAGGCCTGCTAGGCCCAAAACGGGGCATGCAGGGGTTGGGCGCACACGTGCAAAGGAAGCATAGGGGGAGTGCATGCATGCGCAGGGGGGCAGGGCACATGGAGGTGGGTATCACACACAGATTGCATTATGGGTTTGGGCACGCGACAACAAAAAGATTAGCCATCGCTGTTATAGAGCAGGGACCAGCAACCTGCAGCTCCGGAGCCACATGCGGCTCTTTCATCCCTCTGCTGCGGCTCCCTGTTGCTTAAAATATGTGTCACATATTTCTGTCAAAAGCACCACACATTTTGTGACAAAATCACTATCAGTTTATTGCAAAAGGTAACTTTACCTGGAACAGCTTACATACCTTTAACACAACACCTGCCTATCTCAGGTCTATGAAAATGCCAAATATAGTCTGTACATCTGATTGACTGAGGCCAACTATAATAAATGTTATCGGTATATAAATCCATATGTGTACAGAGACACTACTCTCTCAACCTAGGAAGAGGAAGGTCAGCAAAGAATCCCCCTTCAGGAGTGGGCAACCAAAATTTTAGCAATGGGTTCTCTGCCCAGTTGCTGGGTGGGCGTGGCCATGGTGGGCGTGGCCTAGTCGGCCTCCTGCACCATGGCGAGGGTGTGAATGTTTTTGCCTTCCCCAGGCTCGGAGGCTTTCCTTGAGGCTCTGGGGTGTGTGAAAACTGTATCCCCCAGGCTCCGGAAGCTGTCCCGTCCCCCCCCCTCTCCTCAAGCCTCCACACAGGCCCTGCACTTACCTCACACCCAAAACAGGCCACGTGGAGACTCCTGAGAGGGGTGGGGTGGGAGGGGCCAGCCAGGAGTGGGATTTGAGGTTCCCTGAACCGGCCATAACATTTGCTACGGGTTCTCCCAAACCCAGGTCAACCCATAGCAGCTCACCCCGCCCCTTCCCCAAAACTGTCAGTCAGGGCTTGCTTTTTTCCAAGAATTACATGCCCCACTGCTTTAGGAATGAAAGATTACAGAATGCCCAATTGTTCTCTATGCAGCCTGTATTACACAAAGTCACCCAATTGTGTGACACTTTCCCGCGAATTCAAAGACTGGAAGCCAGGCAGTTCCATCAGTTGTGAGACATGTGGGCAGGTAAGCACAGTTTGAACTCATTTTTTCCCCTAAATATATTTATTTTGCTTGCTTTTGTGAAGAGAGAGATGTTAGAGAGGAGAAAGTGGCAGGCCAGTGGGAAGGACTTGGCAGATGGACTTTGAATTTACTTTTTTTTAAAATCAAACTTATTTCTAAAATCTCAAGTTCAGATTATGTAAATATGCCCATTCCTTAATTAGACCTTAATTTGTTTTATGGCAGACCACAGCCAAGTTTCCCACTGATGATTGTTCCCTTTATTATTGTTGTTGTTTGGGGCTTCTGGAAAGGATCTTGCAGAATGTGTTCATCAAGGACAGGAGTTTAACAGGCTTTATCTGTGTTTATTCATCTGTGGAAATCAGAGTGTGAAGCCAAAGTTTGTCAAAGGTTTCAGATAACACAGTGGGGACTCAGGTAAACTTCCACAATTTGATGGTTGTGCATTTAGGAAAGCTTTGCATGGTCTTAGCTTGGCACAAGAACTCGGTAGATAATTATGCGGTAGCCTCTTGTTCAGATAACGCTTAAAGCCATAACGCATTTTATTTTGGTTTTGTTTGCCATCTTGGGTGAATCCAGCAATTGTAGTTTATCCAAGAAACATGAACTCTCAGACTATAACAAAAATGGGGTAGGGGCAGAGAACACCTATCCTGTTAAATGCTATGTATCCAGGGGTGGGATTCAGCCAGTTTGGATCAGTTCAGACGATCAGCTGGGGAGCGAACCGGTTCATTCCGATGGTCAGGTGGGCCCACCCTCCTGCTTTACTTACCTATATCTTCTGAGCTGATCTACGCGGCAGAGCGAATTGCCACGCTTCAGCTGTGTTACTCTCCAAAAGTAACATGGAAGGTAAGTTTTGCTAAAACCGTGCACGCAGTGCGTGTGCGCAAACCACACGATCACTGAGCTGGTAGAGATCCCACTCCTGTATATATCCTTGAGGAGAATCTCTACCAGTCAGTCAGTAGGCTCTGGAGAGGGAGGGAGAGGGAAGGAAGGAAGGAAGGAAGGAAGGAAGGAAGGAAGGAAGGAAGGAAGGAAGGA